CGACAAAAGCAGAAGTCCTCGTTGCTTTAAAACTGATGAAGTCCTGCAAGCCTGCAGGACCAGATGAAATCCCACCGGAATCACTGAAAACAGACGCAGAGAGAACAGCAAACATGCTCACACCACTACTGCAGAAGGTTCGGAAGGAAGGAAGGAAGGAAAGGTACCTGCCCATTGACTGGAAGAAGGGATGCCTTGTCAAAATCCCAAAGAACGGAGATCTAAACCTTTGCAAGAACTGGCGAGGAATCATTCTGTTGTTCACCCGAAGCAAAATGTTACGACTAAAAGATGCATCGAATTCAAAACTACGACCGGAACACGTTGGCTAGCTGGGTGAAATCAGGAAGAACAAATCATGTACGGATCAAATTGCAATGCTATGCTACGCATCATCATAGAACAGAGTATAGAATGACAGTCAACTCTCCACCTCAACTTCATCGACATTGAGGAGGCCTTCGACAGAGTCGACTGAGAAGTAATTTGTCAGGCAGCTGCCTCAACATTACCGTCCTACTGCCACAAATCTTTATCAATCTCATTCAACAGCTGTTTTAAGGTGCCACATGCCAAGTGATCCACAATTGAAAGTTCAGTGACGCCTTCGAAGTGAAAACAAGAGTAAGACAAGGTTGCCGCCTACAATCATCAATGATCTTCCTGATTTTGGTGGACTTCATCATTCAACAAACTGTTAGGAGCCGAAAGATGGGCATATGCTGGCTGGACCGATGAAAATAGCCCAGAGAATTTGGATTTCTCCGATGATGATTTATGTACAATGTCACACAAACTCGAAGATCTATAGGCGAAAAGTACTAAGTTGACAGGAGAGGCAGCGAAGACGGGACTTTCTTCAGGTGAACATAGGGAAGACAGAGGTGATGAAGATACCCAACCAACAACATCATCAACGGCAACAACAAGCTACAATCACCATCAACAGGAGAAACGTAAAGCAACTGGCCTCTTTCACCTACACCTACCTAGGTAAGACAGCATCGTTTCAACTACAGGCGCCACAGGCACAGATGAGGATGTCAAATCCAGGATCGGAAAGATAGCAAGACAGATCTTCATCAATCTGAAATCAGTGTGGAGATCTAATGCATTCCACTCAGCACAGTGAAGAAGATCCGGATTTCCAACACCAATCCAGTCAAGTCAGTGCTGCTATATGTTTCAGAAACTTGATGCGTCATGAAAAGCTTTTACAGGAAACTACGGATATTCGTCAACAGCTGCCACCTAACCTCACTTGATACTGGAGATGAGATCAGATGGCCAGAATAATAAGAATAAGCAACAAGGAACTCTGGCTGGCTGGCTGGCTGGCAACGAACCAAACAACATCCTATCACCCAATAAATATGCAGAATAAGAATGTGGAGTTGGATTGAGAAGACCATTTGGGGACATCAGGCGTTTGGCCAGGCCCTCGAATGGAATTCGTGGGGGAAACATAGAGCTGAGCGTTCGAGGTTGACACTGAGGAGATGGTGTGAGGATGAAATGGAAGGTTGTGGGCAGTCGTGGAGCTAGGTTTTGAAGAGTGCCGAGAAGATAGTGGAAGGGAGACGTGCTACTGAAGCCATATGTTCCACTAGGAACCCAAGGGATAAATAATAATAATAAATAATGTCTATACATCTGTTGATTGCTTGCTGACTGACACAAATGCCAAGCTTATAGAAATTCTCTAATATTCTGTTTCATCTCTTCGTCCAAAATTTCTACATTGTTGAAATAGAATTTATGTCCATTATTATCTACATGCATTGAAATGAGCGATGAAATGTCTTGTGTAACGTTTAGTAGCCAATTGGTATTCGTGTATATATATATATATATATATATATATATATATATATATATATATATATATTTGTATTCTCGGTTAAACACGGTTGTATATTATCTTTGTCGAAAATATATTTAGTAGTTTTTGCATGGAAATAGTGTTTGTGACAGGTGATGGGATGATATTCAACATCATTACTTCTCAGAAGACTGAATTATTGATTCCTACTTGTAACCGACTACCTCAGTACATCATCAACTACAAATTCATCGGCAGAAATCAACATGTGCATCACCCTACCTTACATAAAGAATATGTCAGAAATCATGACAAGATTACTGAAACCACTTGGAATTCGTGTGGCTCATAAAGAAACAAATTCCCTCAAAACACTATTATACAGACCAAAGGATCCAACAACCAAAGAAGACAAACCGAACATCATTTACAAAATCAACTACAATACCTGTAGTCGACACTATATTGAACAAAGTTACCGACCTCTTCGTCTTCGTCTACATGTGTCCGTCGACATACATATATTTATATATATATATATATATATATATATATATATATATATATATATATATATATATATTCTTTATTGAGGAATAATTTCATAAAACTTACAGACTTCCAGATTAAAATTTGACCCAATAAACATGAATAAGTTGACCATTGCGTAAATGGATTACAAATAAAATAAATTTATAAAATTCCAGTGAGGTTAAAATCAGACAAATTTCTGAAGTTTCATGACATCATGGAAATAGCTACTTCACCAAATTAAACAAACCTGTACAAGTTATCAAATGTTTAAATAGAAAATGGTGACTAGTCACATCACGTTGTTCATACAGGATATCGACATAATATGGGCATAAATGTCATTGTTATCCTTTCTTAGTTTGAAGGTCCAGTTGAATGAGTGTGGATATCTGGGACAAATACTAGGGATGAAGAATTCATTTTGTTTGTGTGTGTATATACTTCAGATACGAATACTGTGTGCGACGTGTTATTTTTGAATATAAACTGTCCAAGTTGGTTGGCCAGTTGGGTCTTCCTTTCTGTTGGCTGTATTACTATTCAAAATAATGTGAAATGCTGTAGCTAGCCGTTATTTCTTTATAGCTTGAAAAATCTTTGTGAATAATTTTAATATTTTCAATGTCAATTTAGTGACTATGGTAGATGGCATGAACAGCGATTACCAACTTGATTTGCAGATTCCCCAACAAGATTATTTGTCAGTTATTTTGTGTAACCTGCATATTCTTTAGCACGAATGAGGACCTCACAAGGTGGTCCCTCAGTATATTAAGCATCACAATCGACATAGTCTAATTTGTAGGCACAACTTTGTGTAGAAGTAAAAGGAATTCAGTCTTTAAGGTGGACTTAAGTATTCCTGAGTGTTAGTTCTCTTAAAGACGGCTCTAATTCAATGTTTCCTTAAAATCATTTGCACTTTGGAGGAATGGTAGAACTACTTAGGTGCTAAAGAATATGCAGGTTACACAAAATAACTGACAAATAATCTTGTTGGGGAATCTGCAAATCAAGTTGGTAATCGCTGTTCATGCCATCTACCATAGTCACTAAATTGACATTGAAAATATTAAAATTATTCACAAAGATTTTTCAAGCTATAAAGAAATAACGGCTAGCTACAGCATTTCACATTATTTTGAATAGTAATACAGCCAACAGAAAGGAAGACCCAACTGGCCAACCAACTTGGACAGTTTATATTCAAAAATAACACGTCGCACACAGTATTCGTATCTGAAGTATATACACACACAAACAAAATGAATTCTTCATCCCTAGTATTTGTCCCAGATATCCACACTCATTCAACTGGACCTTCAAACTAAGAAAGGATAACAATGACATTTATGCCCATATTATGTCGATATCCTGTATGAACAACGTGATGTGACTAGTCACCATTTTCTATTTAAACATTTGATAACTTGTACAGGTTTGTTTAATTTGGTGAAGTAGCTATTTCCATGATGTCATGAAACTTCAGAAATTTGTCTGATTTTAACCTCACTGGAATTTTATAAATTTGTTTCACTTATAGTTTCGTAGACCTTATTCCTCATCTTTTAAAATCTGGATGTTTACTGGGTTTTCAACGTTATGAACATCACTCAATCTTTGTCATTAACATGGCCATGATAAAAATCCTCAGTCTTAGACAACTTCGCTATTCATTAATTATACTTCTTTTCTGAATCCTGTGTTTCTATTCCTGAAGTAAATCCTTGTTTTATATTGCTCAAATTCTTTTCGTTATTTGATTTATTTCGACTTCTGATTCTGTATAGCTCTACCCTTTCCAATACATATTTACCGATGTACAGCTTAAAAAAACAACTTGATCAAAATAAAAATTTCTTCTTCGCTACAATCGTCACTTTTGTCTTTTCTCGTGAACAATAAGATAATCTTCAACATTTCACTTGCTTATTTAATCAAGTCTAAAAGTTCATTCTCTTAGACACCATTTAAATAGAAATGTATACAGTTACTTAGGAAGGGAGTCCAAAGCGTTATATTCAATTTTCATAACTATGTTCTCATAAACAGTTGCCTATCAGTATTCATTATTCTTCTTGTATACGTTTGTGCTCACAAAAATATGAAGTTCCTTTCTCGATTCTTTCTATAACATCATCATAGAGTGAGGAATAATTCAATGAGACAGAATAACGTATGCTTTATCTACGCAACGTTTTACAAGAGGTCAGTTAAACAGATAATTCAGAAAAACGAAGTAATTCGGAGAAAAAACGTTTCCCTCAGATGAATCATTTTCAGCAGCTGTACAATCTTGTTTATAATAATAATACAAGCAAATAGATAAGTCTATTATTGTCTAGCAAAACGGAATACTCTAGGGTGAAATAGTAAATCGACTAACTATCAGATAACGTTTCAAAACAGCAGTGTTTTGCTTCACCTGCCGTAAACTTTAGAAAGGGAACTTTATTACAGCAATTGTATTTTTAAAATTACCTCTTGAACTGACTTTTGAAAGATTTTGAACCTAGAAACTAAGACTCTGTTGAACAGCACTTAATAACCCCATTTATTATTGTCATTGGAATTATGATTTTTTTTAAAATAATGAATTAACAAAGCTTGTATATGATAACTTTGAAACGTGTCCTCCTTATAGGTTCGATTGTCTATACACGAGAAGAAAGGATTTATAATAACACGTTTGGTGGCCGTTGACAAAGATTCAGGGCAAAACGGTGAAATATACTATAGTCTCCTGAAAGCAGATCCCAAGCATATATTTGGACTACGTCATGACACTGGAGAGATTATTGTGACAAATACTATTGAAAAATCTGAAGAGGTATATTAAATGTAATTTAAATTTGCTTTATATAATAATTACTTTTATTCTGGATATCTGGTTTTGTAATGAATTTAGCTACTAGAAAGCCCAAAATCTAGATTCAGAACTTCTTGCTTATTGTCTCCAACCAATTAACATCTATCTTAGAGTATCACGATGGTGAGTCTTCTACCTTAGTGGCCACATTGCAAAACCATGGACTGAATTTGATCAGTATTTGAGATTAAACAACATGAAGTTGGCAATCTTTCAGTGACCAATAAATACGACTACTAACTGCTTCACTGTGAATGCTATATAATGTCAAGACTTTTAAAAATTCCTAAAAATCTGGACTTAGAAATTCAATTGCCTTGTTTTTTTGAAATCGAAAAGTCTCAAAACCTTGAAAACGAAAGCTTTCATTTGTTCTCAAACTACTTTTCAATTTCTGTATCAGCGAGTACAAGTTGAGTATTCTAGAAGACACACTCGTGAAAACTTGACTCGATTTATGACCACTTCTTATCACACATTCTGTGCGAAGTTATTATATCTTAATGTTTCATATTCTACATTGTCTTATATATTTTTACGTTTTTTAATGCATTCCAAACCCCTACTTTTGTCGCCTAAATTTTATTCACCTTACAATTTAACGGAGTTTAGATTTTATTATTATATGTTAGTATAATTTTAATTCTCCCTTGTTTTACTGGATCGAATTGTCCGGTATTATAGTGATAAATATTCAAGTAATATTGAGGCATCCGCTTAGTCATCAATATGCAAATACAGGTCAGACAATTCGATTCAGTTAAATAAAAGAGAATTACGGACAGATCAACAAACAATAAGGAGCAATATCGTGCCTCAGTGGCCTTGGCATTTGAAGCGATGGGTGTAAGATTCGATTCTCAGTAGGAACAATATCACTCACCTGGGTGCAGGTACGTTCAGCTGATGAACCCTAAATGGGACGAAACGCGAGTCCTTGATTCTCCTGCTAGCCACAACCAAGTGCATTTAAATTTTCTGTAGGGTAAATAGTATTTTTAAGATAGCATGGTATATTTTCAAATGATTCACAAATTTCACGGTCCAGGTTGACATTTCTTACTGAGAAATGGGCAGTTTTTCAACTGCTCAGCTGTTGTGTCAACAGAGTTTCCATTAGGAACCGTGAGTTGTCTAAAATCACCAGCTGTGATGTCTGAAATAAAAATGTCATGAACTAGCAAAATACACCACTGCTGAACAAACTGAGTAGCTAGAAACCAGTCAGGTTGATCTTTAAATTTCACCGAAATGCATGGTTGGGGTCCTGGAGACAAAAAGGGATGAGTGGTTCAGGAATCTTAGCGACATGGCTGAAAATCGGCCAAAATGGCACAAATATATTCACCCTTCGACATCTGCTAAAGCTTAAATATTTGTCGTAACTTCCATCTCCAAATTGTTTATTCTGTCACACAACTTACTGTTTTCAGTTGTTATTTAAAGTATTATAAGGATCCTTCAATGGTTAAGAAATTATATAAGTTTGTGTGGTTTTTCGTCAAGCGTGCCAAGAGTGACCTCTTTTTTTCAATGAATGAAGTCATATATGAAGTCATATACACTCATAGATTTACAAACTGATCCTAAATATACATGAGTTTTGTTAACAAAAATATAATTTATGCAAAACTGTGAGTATGGCACATTAGCTGCTATGCATACAGTCCACACTTTAGCAACATTAAAGAGCCTAGAAAATATTAAAATGACGATCCAATCAAGAAAATTACTTATTTAAGTCATTGGCGATATCCATACCTTTGATTATCATGTGTAGAATATAACTCGACTGTTAAACGTGTATAGGTGTACATGATTCACAGGATTTACCTTCGATGAACTGAACTGTAGAGAACTATTTATTGAAGCAATATAAGAAGATAGTGTAAGGCAAACAGATTCTTCTTCTATCTCCAGCCTAAGAAGTGAACAGTTAAGATGAGCCATGGTAGGGGAAAAGACATCTGAATGCGGTATTAACCAGCTGTTAGTCAGTAGAAGTCGTTTGGTTAACTGCTACTTTATAGCATCAGTATATGTTCCACGTAACTGAAATCAGTATAAACTGTATTTCAGTAAAACATAACTTCCTGATCAACAAGACAAGCGAGACAACTTTGTCTGATTTTCTGTCTAACATATTAACTGATCCACTATACTATCAAGTAAGCAATTGCTTCATTAAAAAGCTTACACATATAAATGCCAACATTTTCAAACTTGATAACAAAGTAGTAATTTATGTTCAAATTATTCGGCGCCAAAGATTTTTAACTACTGAATTCTGATGAAGACGCCTTATATTTTACTTCTCAGCTTATTTCTGCTTCTATGTGAGAGTGAAGAGAGTGAAAAAAATCTCCAATCACCATCAGATATCAACAACTATAATCCAAATGACTGATTCAATGTCTTAGTAGGTGAAGCTTTTACTTTCATACAGAGAATATTATGTCTATCTGGCTTCAGTTCATATATATTCCATTAGTAACACTGCGACCGAAATATACTTTACCTACATGATAGAGTTATTTATATTATTTTTTCAGAAACTTTTCGAGCTAAAACAGGATTTTCCATTTTCTTGATGAATTTTTACCCTGACTAAGTATTACGACAAACTTACACATACTATTGGCATAAAATGTACACTGTTAATCTCCGAATCATTTTATTTTAGCTAAAAATATTAATCACAAACGCATGCTATAATGCACTTCAACATTTTTTAGAAGGGAAAATTAATTTCACATTGCAATGATTGTAATAAATGCCAAATTAATGAAGTTTCTTGTTCCTATACTCAGGTTTCCACTATCTTATCTATACAAGCCTCAGATCGTGGTAATCCTCCAAGATCCAGTAAAATTGATGTTGAAATCATTATAGCAGATACACCACCGATTGGTAGAAGTTTTGGAAGACTAGATGAATATCAATTAGCTAATTTAAAATCACTCGGTTTAATTGGTATCACAGAAGTGGATAATTCTGGTGCAATTGAATTGAATAAATTAATTATGATGTGTATTGTAGTTTCTACAACTGTGCTATGCATTATTTTAATATTCACTATTGGATTATTTGCTAAACGTACAAGTTGTCGAAAACTTTTTACACCACAAAGACATAGCAGTTGTATCCAAAATAGGTCGCAAAATGACAGAAAAAAACTTCCTGATGTTATTTGTAAAGATCCAGCAAACAGTGTTGATCAGATGGGTGAACTGGAAGAGGAAAGAAAGAATTTGAAAGGTATGTAATGTATATTATCATTAAAAATACATTTCAGATTAATATTCATCACTGGCAATTGGAAAGGCAGGTTTCCAATGGCTCTTCAAATAATGTCTGTTTGTGATAAATACCGACCTGAAATCAATCAATAAATCACCACACTCCTTCAAGGTGGATTACTGTCCAGTAATGATTAGCGACTTATTCTGAGATAAGATTCTCGAAGCTGTAATAAAAAGTCATGACTGATGTAAGGACAGTTACTCAACGATGACATTGGATGAGGTTGGAACTATAATGTGAACTGACAGAAGTAGGAAATGCCGACTACTGGATTCTAACCTAGTGGCTCAATGGCAAAGTACTGGCAGCTAAACCTGATGATCTTAGCTTTGATTCCTAGCTAGACTGGGTGATGTCATTTATGTACACTGCTGAGAAGTCCGATATTATGATGAAATAGCTGTCCAGTACTCCCAAGTTTCAGTAGTTCTCCAAATAATATCAGCCTATGATGAGGATTAACCTGAAATCAATGAATAAATCCCCAAAAGCCTCCTAAGTGTATTTAATAAGAGTATTATGTAGTAGATCATTTCAAACTCATGTTTTATGAGTTCAAGAAGCGTGCGAAAGTTATATGAATAAAATCAAATTGTTCTTCTGAGTACAATCCAGATTTGTCATGCAACAATGTCTTAAACTGATTGGTAGTGTATAAAGACGCTTCTTCAGCAATAATATCTCAGAAAATGTCCGTTCATGGATAAATTTCAAATGAAGAAAACTTGAAACTATGAAACCACTAGATATATGTTTTGCTTTACTTCATAGCTTCTCATTTATATTTACCTATTACCCTACGCAGGACTGAGGAAAGGATAGTCAGACCTCATCGTAAGCACATTATCATCTAGTCACTGAACAAGGATCCGGTGATTTGTGTCTTAAAACCTCTATAAATCGATCATTGAATACGAACTGATGATGACTGTGGCATACTGAAAGCTGAGGACTGTATTAGCCCTAGAATTTTAGATCGATGATTAAGGTGTGATGTGCCTGTTTTAAGACATAACATTCCGTTATACGATCATGATGGCATACTGTCAAAGTAGTACAATTCAGCTCTTCAATGCAGCACTTTGATACCGGCGTGTGATAACAGCTTCCTTCAAATCAATCAGTCAGTCTCAGAAAGCCTCAAATTTAAATATTACTATCTTTTCGGAAACATCAATCCAATCGGCAGATACCATCAAAGGTTATAATAAGTTTAATTTAATTCTGCTTATTGATATCGTACGACAAAAACTTGAGTTTTTTCATAAGTACAGATAAAAATTCAAAAAATAACAACTGGGCTAAGATTTATCTTCCATCCACTGATGCCCACAGGGTAACCAATTCAATTCATAAAACAATGTACTGTTTCATTACGAATGAATTGGTTGGTAATTTTTTTCAATTATTATTTCAAACATTTATTTTCTTAGCTATCGCCCTAACATTTACTGCATTACAATCATCTGATCACATAAACGCAGTTCTATTAATTTTTCTTTCGATAACACATTTTGAAATTCCCATTAAGTAAGAATGTAGGGTATCTGTTGAAAAAAAATAGACTTTCATGTCATATTTGTGAATAATTTCACTTATTTCTTTCAAAGTCTCCTTACGATATGGAATAATCTCTATGTTGATCTAATTCTTCGGCAAGAATTTTGATGAATTCTTGTTAAAATTCATTTTACGAAACATTTCAAAAATTTATTTGTTTCCTGTGTACTAAAAATTAATTTTAAATCTTCTGCCTTATCATTTTCTATTGTAACAAGATGGTTAACTCTGTTGATGACAATTCATACTACTGTCAAAGGATTGGTAGACTGATGATATGGGTATCTGTTACACACACAAGTATAAACTATATATGATGTCGACCTTTTGCTGAGCACCTAATACTTGCGATTCTATTCCTCAAATCTTGATCATAGATCATATGAAACGTTCATTGTTATAATTTACTTGACTGAGGTTTCGTAGAGGAGTCTAAGGCATATGCTTCATCCCACCCAGAATTCATTAGCTGCTATCATTCATATCCATTTGGGTGAGATACTATCAATCGCTGGGATACAGATATATCAGGCTGACGAGTGATGAATGGGACGAAATACGCTTTCTGAATTGGCCACTAGCTAGGATCAAGTATATTATAACCCAGTGAACTTTCAAGCAATATCAAAACATCCGTATGTAAACACAGGCCAATCCATTCGTTACAATTTAGCAACGGGAAATTAAAAGAACCAACAAATAAAAACTTCACTAACCAGAATATATAATATTTCACTTTGATGTTTTGTTTACCATAGGAGTTTTCAAGGGAACGTATTTATATTTCCATGAACAGAGATGTAGTGACTTCAGTCTAAATGGAAAACACTTTTTTCTTAAATGTGCCACCTGAGTGGAAACATTATACCCATATAAGTAAAACATACATTACTGATAAAATTAAAATTCCTGATCCAACCAACACTTATAATTAGACGAATAGAAAAACATTTTTCTGTTCTATATTTTTACTTAAAATGTTTGCTGATAATGCCTTGGTGAACTTGTATAGTCCTGTGAAACATGCACAGAATAACAGTGGGAACATATGAAAGTGAACAACCATCTTATTCACGGAAACCCATTGCAAAAAGTTATTAATAAGGTTATCGATTAATAAAGCTTCACATTTGTAAAAATGTACTCTAAGCTTTTCCAGTAGTCAGGAATGCTTAAAAGAATGTGGAAGAGTTACAAGAAATATCAAAAGTAATTTGAGAATAGCTGAACAAGTGAATGACATATCAACTTAGCGATAAATAACAATTACTACCCGTTATGGCTTTCGCTCATCACTGGTTCAGTGGATAACTTTTTGATGCATGAAGAGATGGGCACAGAGTTCGAGTCTAGGCGAGAACATCATCAATCACTAAGGATCCAGGTACATCCAACTGACAAGTCTCAAGTAGGACGAAAGACTGGTCCTTGATTCTTCTACTAGTCACCACTGAATAAAATGAAGCATAATGGATATCCAAGCAATATCAAGGTATCTGCATAGGATCCTATTTGTCAAAAGAAATCGATCAATTCTACCCAGCATACCATCGGAAATTACACATATCGTAATAATAATAATCTATTCATTCCAAACGACATGTGTGATACGTTGTGGAATTTTCAGCAAGTAGTATTTCAATAAATACGCTCTCCGTACACTATTTTTGAAAGAAATAATTTTTGCATCTCGATAGTGTTATATATAATCGAATTAAAGGCACTAATTTGAAATAGAGTGCTGCTGTTACATTAGCATCTAGTCCTCACTTGAGGATGAATGCGAAATTGAGTGTAATCATGGTGGTGGTAGTTCAGTCAGCCAGTATAAGAATTGTATTTTTAAGCACCCATGTATCCACTTCCCATTGAGTCATAGAGAAGAGATAATCCAACGAAGAAAATTTTCTTCTTCAACGATATCATTTCCTAAAGCTGTACAATCATATTTACATATGTATCATAAACATATAACAGTCCATTATAAAACAATAGGGTATAATTACATCATTAACATAGTGCTAAAGAAAAACCAGAATCAAGAATGCAAAGTAGTTGCATAATAAAATAAGACAGTATAAATATCAAGGAAGGCAAGGAGTTTGACAACGTGAAAATTGTTGGCAGATAAGAAACGCAAATATTGAGTGTCCACTTGATGGATAGATAGGTGTAAAGAAGGTGAAGAATGAGACAAGGGTCATAATGAAGGTGATAATAACACTAAACTAATTAACTATAATGAAATCGAAAAAATGAAAGTGTTAAGACCATGGTAAGATGAGAGACTGAACATACTTATTTTGCAAGCAGAAATCAGGCCTGAATTAATGAATTGCCTGTGCTTCCGCTGTGCACAACTGTCGAAGGAGTACTCCTTTTGAACTATTCCATCTGACACGATAAATGACACTGAAGGCAGATTCTTGTTTAGCTTTATGTCCAGAGTTGACCAAATGTTTAAGAATTGAACTGTTAATTGATTTACATTCTCCTCTCGACAACCATGCAGGATAGTGCTCCGAGATACGTTTGGAGAGCGTGCTTATATAGCTAGCTCCACAGGAGCAAGTAAATTTGTAGATACACATCGAGGTGGCCCAAATTGGCAACTTGTCCTTAACGCACTCCGGAATGAGATATTGACTAGAGAAGCTGATCTGCAGTTTTGCAGAGCAGAATGTGTTCTTCAATGATGTGGACAGCCGATTCTTCAGGATCTCTGCTGTCATATCGCCTTTGAAAACAACGTGCATAAATAAGGTCTTCTTATAAACTGTGAGTACTCGCTCCGTATTCTGACTTACCTCCAAGTTCTTATCGATAAATCTGGATGGATATCCATTTTGCATGAGGATCCTCTGTAGTTTATCTTCTTTAGAAAATGATATCGTCGAAGAAGAAAATTTTCTTCGCTCAGTTATCTCTTCTCTATGTATCCACTTCTATCTGTCGTAACGTTGATCGGCTGTTTTTTGTTCTTAGCTTGACAAATGACAGTTTGAAAACATTTTAAATAGGTGAGACAGCATATGACACATTAAGAAGACATATTTAAGGAATTAAACAGAAAGGGAAGAATTTCATAAATATATTCGAAGGAAAACGTTTATGGTAGTCCACGTTATAAGCACGCCATCTTCGTGATGAGTAATAATAACTGAACCAAGGCTATTTCAGATAGGTAAAATGAGAACAGAACAATTGTTTATCTAAGATTTCATCGGAATAACACCAAACGTTTACTAACAAACAAGAAAAATTCATTTATATTCTTGACTTCTTTTCAGAGCCTAATTCAATTGAACTCTGCGATGTGTTATCCCATGTACAATATAATCATTATCAAGAAGTGGAGAGGAAAAGTTCCTTAGTACCTAAAACATTCAATACCCTTACAAATGCTGTGAAACTTGACCACTTACTTCAATCCGTAAATCATGACAGCATAAATGGTCCTGACAATGATGCCGGTGATGATAATAATATGAATAAATCTGCATTAACAAATTTACACTGTGATAACTCTAATTCACCCGATATCAACATCAACTTACCTTTTTATACAAGCGGTAATTGTAAAAATAATACAACTCTATTTATGGGTCATTTGGAATGCAATCACCCGATTACATCTAATGTAAGTATAAACATTTTGATCATTAGTATAATGTGTAATTTTTATCATACGACATAATTCACAGAGCTTTTCATCACCAAAAGGTAGGGTTATGTAAGGTAACCCTCCAGCTTGCCGACTAATGATACTAATAGGTATGGTATCTAGGATTAGTCAAAGCCTTGATCCTGATTTTGTTTTTTGCCGAAGGACCTCAAATTCGACGGTTGGATGAAACACTGTCATCACTAAGTTCTAGAAAGATTGAGGTTTGTGCAAATATATCTTATGTCTAGTATCAACTGTTCACACGATGAGTACTATGTTAAACCGTTTATTCAAAAGTTGACTAAAGTTTACATGAAATATACTCGAAAGTAGTTTCCAACAGAACTTTCACTTCAATTAAAAACTGCTGTGGCACATTCATTGGTCCCTGGAGAGCAATTAATATGTTCACCAAGATAGGAAGGTCGGCATCATGGTTCACTTTGATGAGTGTTAGTTGGTTAAAGGCAATCGTCAATAAGCCCTGCTCTATATAAGTTTCATGTTTGTTGGTTATCACAACTAGACAGAGTGGCCATTTTAATATATGAAGTCCAGTCCTGTTGCAGCCGACTGCCACCCGAATAGCTCACTGATAATGTCACTGACTGAAACACTGGGTAACATGAATCTGGATCTTAGAGGGTATTTCAGTTCCGTTGAGGTCAGGGGTGCACTTTTCTGACGAGTGTCAACAGAAAAGAAACCCAGATGAGACAGGGTGTCTTGCGAACTCGTTCTAACTAACTAACACTGTTATAGTATCCTGTTTTTGATATCAAACTCCCTTTAACTGCACTTAGATGGTGGTACTCAGGTGTTTCAGCTGTCAATGTCTGTGTGGTAATCTGACAAATGACCGACCTCAGGAGTCACTCGGAAACTGTTTCTGAAGACCTATTCCAAGCTCCGGAAAGATGGTACCAGTTTCATTGCTGTGAGTGTTCGATAGCGACCGCTGATGAAGTCACCAGGATGGTTCAACCACTGACCTGTAAAAATTCTGGAGATATTGGGAAGTAAGCCGACCAAACGTTCTGACATGTCACTTAGTGGAGAAGGCAGGCATAATGCCCACAGACTTCATCATTCCTTGCATGCAATGTAACATGAACACTATCCCTTCACCTATGAAAAATCAGCCAGCAAATTGTCCTAAGGAGGACTCTGAGCTTACCGGTTAGGTACCCTTGAAGATCTTTGTACTTCTGAGTAGCTCCACCGCTGCCACCTCTTCGAAACTGGGAGATCGTAGGTTGATATCTCCTTGACAACGAGGGCCATGATGAGGCTCACCGTCGTGCAAATACACTTCCGTGTCCAGCAAACATCTGAGTCATCGAATACAGCTTAAGTGTGCACCATCGATCAGACACCGGATGGAGAATCAAAACACCGTATCAATTAGAATCTTTCAGCAAGAGATATCTAACTAAATATGACTAAATGTGCATAGTCGGCTAACCATTTGGATAACAGCTCAAAATGCTGGTGTCAAATGATGAGGTATTTAGCTACACTGAGAAAGCTCAAGTTATTTCCTTTCCCAAGTTGTATCAGACGCACAATATCCAGTAACATTCAAGTCATGGTTGCTATAACAAGTTTTTTATACGACAGACAAATAACAGACGGCTTATAGCCATCAATAATTTCTTAAAAATTCATACAGAATCACATATCTATACCCAAGTAAAATTCATGGGCAATAAGCTCCACAGTCAACGATCTGAATGTCGTTCCTAAATACCCATTTAACATCATTCAATAGACAATATGTTATTGTTTATTAGTAATCGATTCATGTACAAATTCCCCTTTTTGAATTTGAAAACAACGACAACAACAATAGAGAAAATGAATCCTTTTTATTTCGTTGGTACCTTGTCATCTTAGAATATCGAAATATTTGGTTTTATCATGCTGGCTAAGATAGCCATAGTTTGACAGACTAGTACTAATACTGAGTGATGATTGAAGGCCGCATAGCTCAGTTGGTAGAGCACCGGGTCGGAAATCTGGCGGCTACTGATTCGAATTCCATAACGGTCTAAATTTTCATTTTACATTCAATCACTACCCAGTATATTAGTATATAGTTTTATTGAAAATTCTACAAACTTTAATTCTCTGGAGGAAAATAGAATATCGATAAGTGGTTAGGATGGACAGACATAGTCACAGAGTAGTAGTCCATCATAATGGCCAATTCAAAAAAGTCTGATAGATGGTAACAAAATTGTCTCAATTATATACATAATTCAACAGAAGTTTCTCGAATAAAAATAATGTTAAGAGTAGCAATTCCTGTAGAAGTACTTAGCATCACATAAGATTACGTAAGTGGGCCATAGGATAAATAAGCTACTAAATAAAACATGTAAAATACTATGAATTAAGCTCAGTTAGCTTAAAAGCATTCAACGTGAACAAAATGTCTCCATTTTATCCAGCCCGCACCGTTGTTCTTGCTCTGTCCAAACATTCGGTTCACATTGAGAAAAGAACATCTATGCTTTCTTGTTACCAATAGAGGTCGAACAAGTCGACCTTGTATAGCAACGTAGATCACAAGTACCAAGCAAAAACTGATGCTCGTTGCGTAAGAGGTGGCTGTCGTACCGCAGTGACCTAAGTGATAACGTATTAATAATTTAAGCGATGGGTACTGGGTTTGGGTCTGAGTGGAGACAGTATCACTCACTGGGATCCAGGTATATATAGCTGACGACTGGGTTTGAAATAAGGCGAAATGTACTCCCACCGCTAGCCATCAAGCAAACAGTTATACAATGAGTAAACAGGCAGTAACGATGCATCCGCACAGAAACCCATCTTTCAACAGAGGTCAACCGATTTGACCCAGTATAAAAAGCGTAGAGACTGCAAGTATCAAACAATAACTGTATTACAACATTTTCTGTATCCCGGATATATGTGAAAACTCCCAGATATCGGTTACGGTCTCAACTGTTGCGCTACATAAGATGAAATTTTTGTTTAGATCTGACTCATTTATATTCATGTATGAGCTTGCTGTCGCATTTCATCAAACTGGAAAATAACTGTGAACAAGTTTACGATGAATTTAGCAGTGGAGTCCTACACATGCGTTTGGTCCAAATTCGGAAGCCGTAGGCCCGATTTGCCTGTCTTCCAGTGAGTGGTGGTACTCCAACCTGGACTCGAATCCCATCGCATCAAATAACGAAATATCATCCACCAGGCTACTGAGTTACAACAGCAATTCTTAGGCGGTGGGTGAAGTTTGGGGTTATAGTTTAGTGAATAGTATTGACCCTAGTGAAAGATATTACTATAGTATTTCGTCACGCAGATCACAGTGATCTAAACACTGGAAGGCCGTTTCAGTGGTTTGGGGCCAAGCTTATCAGCGGTGTATCTGGACAACCTTATGTATCTGTATTCAGTAGTAATGCCAAAAAATAAAGCGCTATTCACACTACCCACTAAAATTCTATTTACGTAAATAAATAGTCACATATAATCTGCGTTATTCAATTTTACCAACAATTGTTGAATAAATCAGACTTATCAGCGAAAAGTACCAGCTGATTTCACCAAGCGACGACCATGCCACTCTGTGAACTGTTGTAAATTTATAATTAAAAGTCGATTTCGACATTATGCCCACTACGAGACTAGAAGGTCAAGTTTTCGATTTTGTGGGTTTCACAAAGTTCTTGGAATTAAGAAATGCATAAGTTGGATAAAAGGATTCTATGCTGTTCCTTGGTTCCAGTTATTCGTCAAATGAGCTTGCTTCAGCTAGCTATCAGTTAAAGATTACCCACTTGTATTGGGGTAATGTTCCTGAGGTTCCAATGTGAAGTCGTGGGGCAAACTAAGTCCGACGTGAGGACAATTATTTAACAATGGCATTGGATGATGATCTTGAAGGAAGCAGGAAGACGTTGACTACTGGATTCAGATCCACTGTCTATATGGTAATATGTTAACCGCGGAAACTGAAGGCCTTGAGGTGGCTCTGTAGTGGGGTCATGAGTGCGCACCGCTGAAGAGTCCCATGGAGGGACGAAACAGCTGTCCAATGATTCTAGACTTTCAATGGTTCTCCAACTGATGTCAGTTTGTGATGTGTAACAAATTAAAATCATTAAATAAATAAGTACGAATCTCCAAAGTGAGTAAGGCAAGATAAATTGTATAAATATTACCAACCACATGCATCACATTATATTACAAGTTCATTTTCAAGGAAACATTGAACTTTCAGTCGAACTACTGTAGTTTGTCTCAACGCTTGCAAAGCAACCGTTTCAATCAACAAGATTAGAAATACTTTCTTCATACAATGTCATTTTCAAATGAATAATTTGGCAGTGTATTTTATAACTTGGATATACAGTTCACTTGAAAATGAACATTCCACATTAAATTTCGTTTCGATCTAAAGAGCCTACTGTCTTTCTTTCAGTACTATTTCGCATTCTATTATACGTAACTAACTAAAATGAACCTTGAAGTTCAAATTTTCATTGGTTATTATTAGTGTAAATGGTAGTTGAAGCAGTTGAAATTCGATTACCACTGCATCTTTGAAACAACCTGTGAACTAATCAGTAAACTAGGACTAATTTTATAGGTGAGAAACAGATGTCAGTGACTAAGCAACTCTTTCTTTATTTTTCTGAAAATAAGTTAACTCTCCCATGAAATCTGCAACAGAACTTCTTTTTTCGTTGTTGCAATATGCCTTACTACTGAAATAACCAGTTAAAACCATGATAAAACACGTTGCTGATCTGAGTTAATTAAATGTATCAGTTTCAGACCTTTTATGCAATAAATACATGTTTTTTGGCCTCTACACACCTTTAGCCAATTTATCAGGACATAAAGCTTATTGAAAATGCTGTACTCTATCGATGATGTACATAGATCAGTCAAATGGAGTCATCAAGACACTAGCAACCTCCTAAATAAGATCAATCCTCTTAAACAATAAACAAATCTTTAATTCATATCATAATTTACTTTCTGGTACTCGCTAGCTGAGTATATCTGCATCTTTGAGAGAAGTAATGCTTAAGAGAAGAAGAAACTTGCAAGAAATAACTTATTAGTAAATGCTTGAGATGCTGTTGACACTCAGTTTCGACTGTATTTCTCTACCTAACAAAGACTATGCGGATTAGAACACCCTAATGCAATACTCGATAACGGCAGGCAACATATATACATACAATATATATATATATATATATATATATATATATATATATGTTGCACGTTAGTAGATAAAATTATTTGACCGTCAAACAAATGCATTTCTACAAAAGACTACTTGAAAGATAAAAAAATAAACTTTATTGTAGAATGAAAAAACGAAGTAAACAAACTGTTTTCATTGATTTTTCGAGGTGCTTTCTTTCACTGCAATTCTCTCTTGTACTGATGGCCAGACCACTTCAATTAATTTACTCATCGAACTAAGTTAAATAAGTAATTTGTTATGAGTGTACTTGTATAAATGTATTCAGTAGAGACTATAGAAATTATTTCCTATGTTTATTAGTCTTGAAAGAAAAGAGAAATGAGTGAGAAAACCAACTTGATTACTTGTAGGATAATTTCTTCACTTACTAGTATGAACCTTAGGACAATCCCACTTAAACTGAAGAGAAAAGATTTTTTATGAAAAGTACATTGATAGAAAATCATGCTGAATATTGCAACTCAATTTAAAATTACACCGTCTAGAATGCCTAGTAGAAAATATTACGTAAATCTGAACAATTGTAACTCCTATAAAAGCATTATTGTATTTAATGAACTCAATATCCACTATCGACAAACGACGATGCCTGTCAAAACCGTATTAAGGCAAACACGAAAACAGTACACTACCTATTCCATTCACGTAACAGTCCTTTGATAAACAGAAATTCAATCCTACCTATACGATACTACTTAGGTATAAAAAAAAATTTGACACTTTATATGAACCATAATCAAAGTCTGACCCAAATATTGGGCACCAAGTCAAATATCTTTAGTATTTTAATTCCGATCATCCATCTGAAGGAGCTTAGATCAAATTTCCACTCAAAATACTGAAAGTAACTTACTTCAAGCATGCCGTGACTTATACAAATATAACTTATATCTAGCACCAACCATATGATAATATTTCCCGGCGAAAAGAAAAACAATAAAAGAGCAATATATTTTTGAGATGAATGGGGATTTTTAATCTAGAAGTAGTATTCATCATGGACTGGAATCGGTTGTGGAACCATTAAAAATTTACGACCACTGTACAGCTGTTTCGTCCAACTAGTATGGGAATCCTCGGCAATACGCACCCACAACCCCGCTGGAGATCGAACTCATGACCTTCAGGTTTCACGGAGAACGTGTTAAGCATCCAGCCATTCGGTCGGTTTCCAGTGGTTCACAATTTCCAACTTCTGTCAATTCACGACATAGCGCGATTATCACCCAAGGTCTTCAGTTAGCATCCACTTCACTACCGACTGGTTGACCCCACAGGTCATGGCTTCTCATTAGAGCTTCCTGATATCCATCTGGAATCAATTCACCAATGAGCACTATACAGTAATGTATTTTTGAGATTAAGGGGGACATTAGCGAGAAAGATGACAGGAATCGCTAAACAAACTGTACAAGAAAGTCTGCAGCCACTAGACGGAATTGTAGTTGTCACGGTAACATAATTCGCTATAAACGAATTAAAAAAATTAAACAAACGCCGTCCCTGTTGGCTAATTCCATGAATGTATTTTGAATTCATTGAACAACTCTACCTCCCTGATATGAATTTCATGACATCTTTTATCAGTGCACTGTTTTATTCTCCTTGAACTTATCGTAAAGCTTTGAATGTAAAAGGAATGACCTACATTTCGAATTCCATACGAGCTTTTGAAATATTTCCGTTAAACCATCCGCATAGAGAACCACTGCTTAATAACTACTTATCTTAAGGAGTATGGTTGAGGAAACTATCAATGATGACTGGTCTATTATTGTAATTGATCTGCCAAACCATAGGGATCAAAGTTTATAGTAGGCTAGTACACCAAATGACTTGACATTCCACTTACTTAAAACTTTGTGATATACTGTTAACATGTTAAAATGAAAATTGAAAGCATTATGCCATAAAGTTGGGAGATGAATTTAATGACAAGAATTTCAAAGATCTAGGGTGCAAATACCTCCCAGCTGACTACGAAGATATGAAAATGGGTTCTAGAATTAACATTAATGAGTGAAAAAGTGGAAAATAATATCTTATTGACAGAGTTTCTTCCTTCTTCTACGTTTGAAAGTAGTCAGTATACATTAACATAAAAGTAAAACTTCGGCACTATAGTAGATTGTAATTCCATTTTAGTCCGTTTATTAGAATTTTCACGCAATGAAATGGTTTTGTCTACTGGATGACGTTTTGGACATAAATTACTGCCCATATTCATACTGGGTAAATCCACAACTGCTCGGGTATCCTAATTGACCATGGTCGACTACTTTGACATTGCAATAATTGTAGGGGATATGGTAAAACAAACTACTTTGCTTAACTGCATCAATAGGATATTTTAACCTATGAAGTTTGTTTCAAAGTGAGTTTGTGGGTTAAAATGCCACTCTACTCCCAGCCTCATCATGAATTCTTCTTAACGCTTTTGAGGTGCTTTCTTTGTGTAATGACACAGTAGGAGCTTTGACTTCTCTCTCAACCGTGTTACCATTATTATTATTATTATTATTATTATTATTATTATTATTATTATTACTGTTATTATGAGTAGAATGATTATTGATAACCTGTGTTGCTACTGTTCATATTTTCCCTCCCACTACTTATGAATTTCTTTATAAACTAAGGTGGGTAATTATTGAGACGCAACGAGTTCTTGTTGTAGATTTTCCGGTCTACAAGTAAGCTTTGTTGACGTATCACTTAAGCATTTAACTAAGCGTACTTTAAATAAAATGGGTTGAGATGATTTGAAGTATAAGTAGCGATTCAAATAGGAAGGCTTCCTAAAGACACTACATCTATGAACTTCAATCTTGTTTTCGCTTAATCTTGCAATCCAGTCAATATACCAGTGAATTCAAAGCACACTTACATTATGCAATCGGTCACATGTATGCTCCCAAGGGGGATATGAATGAAAGGGACTATTAACAGATTTTTCCTATTCATTTTGATACAATCTAAAGTGTATTAACTGTACAAAGTTTACTTTGCTTAAACTATACAGATTACTGTATTTTGGAGTTAGTGGGAATTTTGATTTTTAAGTAGTATTCGTCATGGAATGATAACAGTTGGAGAACCATTGAAAACCTTGGAGCAGTAGACAACTGTTTCCCCTTTAACCTCGAAACATATTACTGCGCAGTGCTCATTAGTGAATCGCTCCCAGATGGATATCACAAAGTTCTAATTAGAAGTGGTGACCTGTGGAGTCAACCAGTTGGGAGTGAAGCGGATATCATCTGAGGACTTTGGATGACAGTCACGCTATATCGTGAACTGACAAAATTGGAAAACGGTGAACCATGTAATCCTACTCCAGTGGCTGGACGGTTAACGCGCTCACCGTGAAACTGAAGGCTGTGAGTTTGATAGGTAACTGGATCGTGAGTGTGTGCTACCGGGGAGTCCTATGCTAGGACGAAACGCCTATCTAGTGCTCCTAGGTTTTCCATGGTTCTCTAGGTAATGTCAGCCTGTGGTGAATACTACCTTATAAATATTACTATTCTTGACCTTCAGTCAGCAGACAGTTATTCAATACTTAAATTTATTTCTAACATTGCTCCCTTGAAAAGTGAAGCTGAATAAGGCTTGATGGTGAAGCTGGTACAAACGGAACTCTAAAGTAAAGGGACAGCCCTAGTATTAAGGCCACAACCTGAAACACAGGACCTTTTGATACCCCCTGTCTTACTGAGATTGATTAGATATTGCAAGGAATAACACTTCAATGTAAATAGTTGAACGAAAAGGTTACTTCAAGAGTATGACTACACACGATGGTACATTAGATGCATTTGATGAAATCCAGTTACAAATTTCTATAATTTTGCCAGCCACTAATTAAGTCTTATCTTTTTGTGAATACTGTAACACAATAAATAACCTTCTGTATCTTTTCTTACCTTATAAATCAGGATACAATACAACTTCATCCAGAAAATCTCTGTCTATCAGAAATCAACTCAGATCCGCCAACATCTTATCCACAGGACGCAGTTATGACTCTTCCTAGAGTATGCGCAATTCATGGTGCACCTGGGACTGCAATGAAACTGTTAGCACTTCCATTAAATGATTCCTCTTATCTTGGTTGTCCTGAAATACACAGAAATTTGTGCATCTCACCACTGAATGATGCACCTACAATCGATTCAGATGTTGACTCTGGTCGAGGTGGTAGTGTAAATAATATTGGCAGTTCACCAAACAGTGAACAATTTACTCATCATCCTAATATGCCTTCCGGTAAATCAGACGCTACAATATTCCCAGTTCATTATGTAACCGGTAATTTAAATTTCAGTTTGATTCCAGTAAGTACAGGCACAAATTTAAGCCTAAACCCCTCTACATCTTCCAATCCAACTGTTCTATTACCCTTATCTGAACTAGAAGATGCTTCATCAGCATCCACTCCGGTTAGTGCAAGAAAGTATTCCAAAGTAACTGGTGACAAACTAAAAGTTACATTTGCAGAAACACTGAGTGAAGAGGAAACACTATCCCAACCAAACACTTCACTGGAAAGTTCAAAAACTATTATACATTACCCTTCATCAATTTCTTCTGATCCAGTTAAAAAGGAAAAAGGTCCTTGGAGGCTGATTCAATGTGCATCAAATAATGTTAAATTATAATCTGAAATGGAACTAACTTTTTATCTCCCTAATATCTCCAAAAACCAGTATAAAGCATCGGTTCTTCTTGTGCATATATAAATAAAACCTTTTTTAGGCATAATTTACTTTGTTATTGAATTTTTCTAAGGAAACTGATTACTCACTGGGATTTTACTCTAATTACTCAGCACCTGATTGTCAAGAAATCGGAAATATTCAACAGGTGACTAATAATCAACGTTTTAAAATAAACGTCCTGCTGACTTACTCTTATTAGTTGACCAAAATGTCAGTGGAACTCATTTTCAAGTTATCAGGGGGACAAAAGAGTCGATATAGCAGAGTTAGAAAAAGCTATGACTTTTTTGACGGCATGGATACACTTCACAGTCACATGCTAGTGTTTCAGTGTGAAGTAGCTCTGCGCAGCACTATTAAAGGGTGCTAAGTTTTATTCCTGGCCGGTGAAAATGGGGGACTTTGTGTGTGGTGCGGATGATTAGTCTTGCCTAAATGCGTACGAATGCCAGCCTCCTCGTGGCTTCACTGCATATCGGCCAATACACCATCAAGTAAACTCGGAGTTGATGAGATGCATATGCGCAAGACCAGTGGTGTAGGTCCGTAATTTTAGAATGGTTTTGTAAGTCATGAGGTTTCTGCTCAGTTCCCGAGAAAAGTGCAACTAAAAATGAAAGGTAAGGCCAGCTTAATAATTCTGGTGGTCCATGCTGTTTGAAGCAATCACAAGAGATTGAATGTGGTTTACTTTTCGGGGCCAGCAATATTCTGTCCAAAATGGCCACTGTTGTTGGCCCTATCCTTCACTGTATATCAGGAGTCTGAAATGAGCCACAGCTGTGAAATTACTGGCACTATGTGTTCATGGACCAAGTCTCTTGACCTCCCAGAAGAATGTCTTTCCTGACAGGTGAGGTATATCAACTCTGCTGTGTTACGGGAGCGTCAGTGTGACATGTCCCACGTATAGCTGTTCAGAAAGGTGAGTACAGTCCACCAATAGATCACCCAGGTAATATGTATGCCTTAAAGCCTGACAGTTGACAGGGTTCTGGAATAGCACTGATTACTTTAAGGGATGTTAATCGAGTCTTCATATGGATCCGTTGCCTGGATGTTTTATGTTTGGTGACTTAGCAGGTCCTGTTAGAACGTCCGCAAAGAAGATTAAGAAACCAAGATAAAATGTCATGCTTTTATAGATTATATGGCTGAAGGATCTTGAAAATTGAATACAGTGGAACAAATCAGTGTAAGAACTTGAATCTAAGATCATGTGAGTTGATGGTTATGTATAATGAGAACAGAGACTGTGTAAAACAGTCATCTCAACAGAATTAATCAACTGGGACATTTCAAACTGTACAAAATAATAAGAAGCAAAGTCAACATGTCCGTCTAACAAATAAAAATAGAAGTTTAGAAGTGGGTTACTAAGGTAAAGATGGATTCATATTGGCTTCTTGTGAACACAAAGTAAGTCTTGGATCTTCATTGGCTACAACCTCAGTAAACAATGATTTGCTCAACACCATGTCAATCAAGACTATAGATCGTATGATGTATATGAGCATGACATTTTGCAACAATTTCGTAAACTTCTTCGGATTTGATTCTCTTAATTACACTGTCCTGTCGTTCTCTTAAACTATTATATTTAATTACTTTTCAATAGCTTTAACTATCAGAAGTTAACGGGAAATAGACGGGATAAAATTATGTCATGCTTTCCTGCCCAAATTATTTGCTTTACTCTTTTGAACCTACATCTGTTTGGATTTTTTGACATAAATTTCAGTAAAATAAACTAATAGCTGCTATCTTACCCACCGGTACACCAAACATATAAAAAGTGGAATAGTTTCGGGCTGATAAACGATCCTGCGGATGATGCAGAGAGCACATTTGTATATAGTATTAATAGATAGTGGCTAGTAGTAGAATCTAGACACGAGATTCTTCCCATTTAGGACTCGTTTGCTGGATGCACTCGCTTCTTAGTGAGTGATGTTACCATTAAGATTCGAAATGAGGACTAGTCGTTTCAAACGCCATCGCGTTAATCCCTGGGCCAGTGGTTCACAATAACCACTTCGTATGCGACGGATATGGTTTTCATCTTGTCGCTATGTTTTTGCCAAAATATTTCGGTCACAAAACCAGCCTAAATTCAGATAATGTTAACAGCCAGAATTTAGTTTTTCCTCTTTTCAATCCGTTATCATCCATGATTTGAAGGTGAGTCACAGTAACAAACTTCTGAAGTCTCACCTCGAAGGAATTCTATGAATTGCTGACAGGAATAATTCCACTAGTAGTCTGATAAAATTAAGCCACGCTGACGAGTCCCAAGTAGGACGAAGTGAGCATTTCGGATTCCACTGCTAGCCACAATCCATCATTAACATCATCAACTTTCTTTAACTTTCTTTTAACTCTAATGCCTCCTCAAAGTACCAAATTTCAGGTGGCATGGTGATCCAAAATTCTGAGCACACTTCATTAGACTGCTTTTTAAAGAAGACCTAGAGTATTATATGAAAGACAGATTTCAGTGTGTCAATAAAACAACAGAGGTTAACATGAATGGTAACAAGTAAAGTGTATTGAAAATAAACATCAAAAGGCCAGCCGAGAATGACAATCAAGTGAAAATAAAGAAGAGCTTTGTGTTTGAGAAAGTCGAAATTTATTTACCTACATCGTTTTCTTTTTCCCAACAACATATCAGTGAGATCACCCTCGAAGTTTCATTACTCTGTATAATGAAATAGTTATTCATCGTGATAAGCTTTCCGATAAGTATAACAATATCAATTATCCACGTGTTGAAATTGCCTAGGAAACAAGTGAAGATAACATAGATAAAATTGAAGTACTAACAGTTTGCATGAGAATGAATCTTAAAATTAAATTTTAGTTATAACGAAACATTTTTGTTACATCGCAATGAAGTAGAAAGATAAATCCCCAAAGTTTCATAATTTCGTTGGCAGATAGATCTCTATTGAACCCCAGCCTCAATATGAAAGCACTCAAGTTTTGTTTAAAGTCGACGCTTCACATTTAGATGAAAACTGTACAAACAAACTAATGGAGTAGCTATAGGTTTTCTGGTGTCTCCTATCGTTATAAACCTATTCAAGTCCCCCATTGAATGATTCATCTCTTCTAACATCATCAAACCACGTATTTGGCTCAGATATGTGGATGACACATTCATAATTTAAAAAGGATCTGGCCTCAAAACCCTCTTGAAATCAGTTAATACTCATTCTCCAAACCTTAAATTCATATGTAAACATGGAAAGGTCAGCGGTAAACTACCATTTTTAGACTATTAAGTTAAAAGGAATGGAAATGGAGGTCTAAGCTTATCGTTTTGTCATAAATCAACATATTCAAATCGATATCTTGATTTCAACTTAGCACATCCATCCAGTGCTAACTTTCCACTTGCTTGGAATTTATTCAGGAAAATCTCAAAGATCATCAGGGATGTAGATGATAGGCAAACGGAAATAAGAAACACATTAGATGTATTACATTGCAATAACTACCCTAGGAATGTCCTTCAAAAGATTCAGAAACATGAACAGAATGATTCAAAAGGAAATTCAAATGATGGTTCCTGGATCAGCATAGTAGTTTTTCGATTCCGCCAAGGTACTGCTAAAGCACTGCAAAGAATCTTAAGAAAGGACCGAATTACAGCCTTCTACAGGACAACCAACACTCTCAGGAATACCTCAGTCCACTGAAAATGCAAAATTCCTTTACTTTCACACAGAATTGTGTCTACAAATTAAACTGTGTCGACAGTGATGCCTATTATACTGGGGAATCATCTGGTGAGATGTTCATTCATGCTAAAGAAGATCCAAGTTACCACCAAAAATCCTGTAGAACTGACGAATTTACAAATCAAGTCGGCAACTACTGTTCATCTCACCCATCACAGTCACAAAACTGATAGTGAAAATATAAGAATTATTCAAAAAGGTTTTTCAAACTCCAAAGAAAGAAGAGACATTTCACATTATGCTGAATACTAACGCACTCAACAGAAAGGAAGGCCTAATTATCCAACCCACATAGACAATGTTTCCAAAAACAACACATCATACACAATGATCAGAACAAAAGTGCATGCACTCAAACAAACCAAATTTGTCATCCATAGTATTGTTCTTACACTTTCATATCAGTCACATGTGCACACATTCACATCTCCACGTTTAACTCCAATAAAGGATAACAAAGACAAGTTTGGACGTATTCTGAATAATATTACAAAGACATTTATGCCCATATTACAACCATGTATAGACAATATAATCTGATTCATCTTTTACTATTTGAACAGTCGATAACTAGTACAGGTTTTATTCTCTGAAGCAGCGATTTCCACGAAGTCGCGAAACGTCAGAACTTTATTTTTCTACTTCATTGGGATTTTAAAAAACCATTTCATTTATAATCTGTTTACTTATTCAACTCTATCAGGTCAAATTTTGATTCCGAAGTTCATAGATTTTAGTTGATCTGATATTTCAGCGATTACAACAAGATACCTCGTAATTGTTTACAACAATACATTCCGTGAGATTTATTTATTTGTACGACTCTATTCGCAACCAAAAAATATTTACTTCTTGAAATGAAAACATGTTAACTGATCTATCTACATTAGTTACCTTTTTCGTATCCAAGTAATAATTTAAGAAATGATCTTGGGTTAACTTGACAGACGTGGAGATCAATCGCTAATTTTCGTACTTATAATGTACCCACGAGCCCGAGACCAAGAAAGAACACTATGGGGTAGCCAGATGGGACGTTACTTCTGATAAACCATCCCAAAATATGAATAAGTTCTGACTAACTGGCTAGAGGATCCTGTACGAACAACACAAAGTAACATGATAACGTGAAAAGTAGTGTGTATGCTTGACTACGTACTTTCAGGCTAGAGAGTCCGTTGAAACAGTGAAGGT